GGAACGTGAAGCTGTTTTTGGCGCAGATCCGCCCCGCGTTCTATAGAGCCTCTTTCTTGGCGATGACGGTGCGCGGCACGAGGGGGGCGGAGCCTACGGTGGGGGCGCCGATCTTATAATCGTCGTTCCCGGCGCTGCCCGGAGGGGAGGATACGGAGGTTTTTGGAGAAGCTGAAGAAAGAAAAAAATGACTTTTTACATGTTTAGTTTTGATACAAATGTAACAAGTTGATGAATGTTTCAAAATAAACTAGAGGAGAGAGGAGGAGCCAGAGGAGGGGGCGGGGGGCTGTACAGAGCTTCCTGACTACATCACAGCACTCCTGATACAAGCAGTGGGCGGGCTCTTGGGAGGAGTTATGCAAATATCAAGATGCCTTGGTGGGTGGGTGTCAGTCTGGAGGAGTGGGCGTTCCTAGACAGGCTGTATTTGCATAGGTAACGCCCACATGTGATGCTGAGCCCCCCAGGATTGAAAGAACTGTAGTCCAATGAATGAAAGGGGGCGGGGCCAGTCAAGCTGGGGAGGAAAGTACTAGATGATGCTGGACGTCCTCCAGCCAGGAAATGAGCAGTATCACAGGAAGCAGATTATTAAGGCCTAAAGTGACCGGGAATTATGTCCAGGCCCAGGCTGGGTGCAGCTGAGTGCAGGTAATGGGCCCCGTCCATGGCGGCTCCTGAAACACAAAGGACACAACTGAACCCCATTGCTTTGCTGTTTCATATTTCTTTATTATTGTATTCCACCCCCCTAGTGGTCATTATTATTCTGCAGCCTGCGTCACTTCGGGGGAGATTTTCTTCCACTTCCTGTCCTGCGGGCACAACAGGAAGTGGGGAAAATTCCTTCATGGGTAGATGTCACCGGGAGAGGTGTCCCCATTGGAAGATTGGGGTCACTCGGCCGATTTTTAGGGGTGACCTTGCCACTCATCGAGTGAATTGGTGGCTTTGGCCCAATGGAAGAAGGAAGCAGCCGCCGTACCTCCCAGCAGCATCTCCTGCAGCAGGCTGTCGATCTTGGCCATCCCGAGGAGCTTGGCGAATTGGACCTGCTCGATCATTTGCCAGGTGATGCTCTGCAGGGGCGGGAGGAGGAGGAGGATGTCGCTGAACCGCCCCCGCGAGTCGTACTGACGGTCGTTGATGTAATCCTCCAGGTTCACCTGCACCTGGAAACGCATGTTCTTCACTTTGCTGGCGTCCATCAGTCCCTTGCAATCTACGGGGAGCCGGGAGGATCAAAATACCAGATTAACATTCATGTCGTGTCACTCTATATAAAGGTGGAAGAGCTGAAACATTGTAGTGTATGGAAACTTCTGGATTTCCAGTGACCCCTGTGACTAGTGACCCCAGTGTCTTCAGTGACCCCTGTGACTAGTGACCCCAGTGTCTCCAATGACCCCTGTGACTCCAGTGTCTTCAGTGACTCCAGTGTCTTCAGTGACCCCTGTGACTTCAGTGACCCCAGTGTCTCCAATGACCCCTGTGACTCCAGTGTCTTCAGTGACTCCAGTGTCTTCAGTGACCCCTGTGAGTCCAGTGACCCCTGTGTCTTCAGTGACCCCTGTGACTAGTGACCCCTGTGTCTTCAGTGACCCCTGTGTCTTCAGTGACCCCTGTGACTTCAGTGACCCCTGTGTCTACAGACTCCCCTGTCTCCAGTGACCCCTGTGTCCTCCTCTGTCTCCAGTGACACCCTGTGCTCATGTGACTTTAGTGACCCCTGTGTCTTCAGTGACCCCTGTGTCTTCAGTGACCCCTGTGTCTTCAGTGACCCCTGTGACTAGTGACTCCTGTGTCTTCAGTGACTCCAGTGTCTTCAGTGACCCCTGTGACTCCAGTGACCCCTGTGTCTTCAGTGACCCCTGTGACTAGTGACTCCTGTGTCTTCTGTGACCTCAGTGACTCCAGTGTCTTAAGTGACCCCAGTGACTCCAGTGTCTTCAAGGACCCCTGTGTCTTAAGTGACCCCAGTGTCTTCTGTGACCCCAGTGTCTTCTGTGACCCCAGTGACTTCTGTGACCTCAGTGACTCCAGTGTCTTCAGTGACCCCTGTGACTCCAGTGACCCCAATGACGCAAGTGACTCAAGTGAGTGCAGGGGTTGCACTCATGTGTCTCCACTCAGCCTCAGGTGCACTCCTGTGTTCCCTCCCTCTCTGGATTTGGACCCATGACCTGACAGAGCCCCTCCCCCAATATAACATAATATCCTTCATGTGCTATAACAAGTCCTCCTGATCGGTACATTTCCAGGCTGAGAGTTCGGAGAATTCTGCTATATTGTTGTTTTGCTGCTGAGCAGCTGGCAGAGGGCACCGAGAATCAGGCCTCTGATTGGCTACAATCCATGACGGGAAGTTACTGGTCTCTTTTTGGGTGCAGTATCTAGCAGAGCGGAATGGTTTGAACATTTCTTTCATTGTTTCCTTCTATAAAATGATCAGAATTTGTATCATCCCGCCGCCATTTTATGAGCCAATTCAGAAGTTAAAGGAGAACTATGAGGTCAGGGCTTTCCCCCATAGTTCTCCTCAGGGTCACGGGAGAACACAAACTAGCGTCCTCCCGTCACCCTCGGCTCAGTATATAGCAGGCTGCAGCTCGCGGTATACTGAGACGCCGCAGCCGGGACGGATATCCCGACATTTCTGTCTGGATCCACCCAGTGACGGTATGCGTTCGCTCACCTCCCGATCTACTGAGCCGACCTGTGACAGTCTCATTGTCACAGGTCGGCTAGAACTATGAGGAGGAGGGGAAATCACCCCCCTCATAGTTCTCCTGTAAAGTGCCTTTTTTAAATTCGCAGACATATCACACGGCCACCAGATGGCGCTGAGGAGCATGAGACATAAATACTCTTCCTGTGCTCCTCGGCGCCATCTGGTGGCCATAACCCCGTATTACATCACATTACATTCCACCTGCCTCTATTCACACAGAATGAACGTTCACAGAGGTGTGCGGGGTGAAAGGTGAAAGGCTCTGCACGTTGTGTGGCGTGTAGTAATAGGAAAGACTCCTCCACGGCACGGGTCGCCGCTTTCTTCTCACCGGGGTCAAAGAAGATGACGGCTTTCAGGCAGGCGTACTCGTTCTCGTCGATCTGGATCTCCCGCAGCGGTTTCACCAGCTCGTCCAGTATTCGCACCGCCACGCGGGCGATCTCCAGCTCCGGGCACTGCATGGGGATGATGAAGTCGTTGCCTGGTGGGGGGAGGAGGGAGGAGGGGGAGGAGTCACCGGCTATAATAATATATATATATATAATGTATATCACACTTTATATACACAGAAGCCGCACACAAAACTCTATCATCTTCACACCGGAGTCAGAATTCCCTGTGACTATGTCACTGCCGTTCCAAGGAAACTGCACAGAGCTTGAATCCAGACTACAGGCATCCCCTGTAACGGGAGCTTCTCTCTCGGGTAAGAAGCTAATGGCTCATTCACGCGCCCATCCAGAGGCCGGCTCCCGGGAGGGACAGACGCAGGGAGCCATGCGTGCCGTCCTCCTGCACATTCCAATGGGAGGGCACGGCTGCATGCAACACCATGCCAACCTGCATTGGCCCATCCGTGCTGGTCTGGGTGCCGAGTGTCTGCCTGGCTTTGCCTAGGCTGAGATGATGTCATCAGTCTGCTGCAGGCAGGAGGAAGCAAGCTGCACAGGCCCCGGGAGTGCCCCCGATTATTCTGCGTCTGATGATACAAGCATGGCTCATTATTTGGCCTTACCGAGCAGCAGGAAGTCTTTGTACGGAAGGGAGCGTTTGGCGACCCCCAGGAGGAGATGGGCCCCGGCGTGTGCTCGTAGTAGCGCCACCTGCGGGCAGAGAGAGGAAGTGGGAAGGTTTATTGCAGAGAACACAGACAGGAAGTAGCGGAGTCTTTATTCCAGTGATTGTCTAGTGTTGGGTAGTGAGGGATTGGACCCTCTGTCATGTTTTACTGCATCCGGAGACCCCGCCAGGTAGGTGCACCCTCCATGCGTCCTGGTGACCCCGTATGGGAAGTCTAAAATGTTACAGTTGTCACCAGATCTGCAACGGGGGCACCTGTTCCAGTGACAACAAAGAAGGACGTTCCCCCCACTTTGGAGAGATTTCCCCCCTCACTTCCTGTTGTGTCTCCCACTTGCAAGTCATGTGACCCGTCCCAGTATCCACAGCACAGGAGCAGGTAAGAATGAGTGCTTGCTGATACCCCGGAGCTGAGCACAGAGCCCCCCCCCAGGCAAAGTGTAAGCAGGTCACATGACCTGGTGGAGGTGGTCACATGACCTGGTGGAGGTGGTCACATGACCTGGTGGAGGTCAGTTATCATCACTCGGGTCACCTGGTCATCCAGAGGCAGCTCGCAGAAGGCCGGGATGTGCTTCGCCCACTCCACCAGCAGGAGGAGCTGTTGCTTCATCGACTCGCAGACGTCACCGATGGTCGCGACTTTCTTCATGGCGATGTCACCGATGTGGGCGGGGCTGAGAGGAGAAAACTGGGAGGGGCAAGAAAGAAAATTAGGTCAGCCCCTAAAAAACTGATATTTCAATCATGAATGGAGGGGAGGGGCGTTCATCCTCCTATAACAGAATGCTGCTTAAAGGCGCACTCTGCTGCATGACCCTCTCCTGTAGCATGTTCCTAGTCTCTGACCCTCTCCTGTAGCATGTTCCTAGTCTCTGACCCTCTCCTGTAGCATGTTCCTAGTCTCTGACCATCTTCTGTAGCATGTTCCTAGTCTATGACCTTCTCCTGTAGCATGTTCCTAGTCTCTGACCTTCTCCTGTAGCATGTTCCTAGTCTCTGACCTTCTCCTGTAGCATGTTCCTAGTCTCTGACCTTCTCCTGTAGCATGTTCCTAGTCTCTGACCTTCTCCTGTAGCATGTTCCTAGTCTCTGACCTTCTCCTGTAGCATGTTCCTAGTCTCTGACCTTCTCCTGTAGCATGTTCCTAGTCTCTGACCTTCTCCTGTAGCATGTTCCTAGTCTCTGACCTTCTCCTGTAGCATGTTCCTAGTCTCTGACCTTCTCCTGTAGCATGTTCCTAGTCTCTGACCTTCTCCTGTAGCATGTTCCTAGTCTCTGACCTTCTCCTGTAGCATGTTCCTAGTCTCTGACCTTCTCCTGTAGCATGTTCCTAGTCTCTGACCTTCTCCTGTAGCATGTTCCTAGTCTCTGACCTTCTCCTGTAGCATGTTCCTAGTCTCTGACCTTCTCCTGTAGCATGTTCCTAGTCTCTGACCTTCTCCTGTAGCATGTTCCTAGTCTCTGACCTTCTCCTGTAGCATGTTCCTAGTCTCTGACCTTCTCCTGTAGCATGTTCCTAGTCTCTGACCTTCTCCTGTAGCATGTTCCTAGTCTCTGACCTTCTCCTGTAGCATGTTCCTAGTCTCTGACCTTCTCCTGTAGCATGTTCCTAGTCTCTGACCTTCTCCTGTAGCATGTTCCTAGTCTCTGACCTTCTCCTGTAGCATGTTCCTAGTCTCTGACCTTCTCCTGTAGCATGTTCCTAGTCTCTGACCTTCTCCTGTAGCATGTTCCTAGTCTCTGACCTTCTCCTGTAGCATGTTCCTAGTCTCTGACCTTCTCCTGTAGCATGTTCCTAGTCTCTGACCTTCTCCTGTAGCATGTTCCTAGTCTCTGACCTTCTCCTGTAGCATGTTCCTAGTCTCTGACCTTCTCCTGTAGCATGTTCCTAGTCTCTGACCTTCTCCTGTAGCATGTTCCTAGTCTCTGACCTTCTCCTGTAGCATGTTCCTAGTCTCTGACCTTCTCCTGTAGCATGTTCCTAGTCTCTGACCTTCTCCTGTAGCATGTTCCTAGTCTCTGACCTTCTCCTGTAGCATGTTCCTAGTCTCTGACCTTCTCCTGTAGCATGTTCCTAGTCTCTGACCTTCTCCTGTAGCATGTTCCTAGTCTCTGACCTTCTCCTGTAGCATGTTCCTAGTCTCTGACCTTCTCCTGTAGCATGTTCCTAGTCTCTGACCTTCTCCTGTAGCATGTTCCTAGTCTCTGACCTTCTCCTGTAGCATGTTCCTAGTCTCTGACCTTCTCCTGTAGCATGTTCCTAGTCTCTGACCTTCTCCTGTAGCATGTTCCTAGTCTCTGACCTTCTCCTGTAGCATGTTCCTAGTCTCTGACCTTCTCCTGTAGCATGTTCCTAGTCTCTGACCTTCTCCTGTAGCATGTTCCTAGTCTCTGACCTTCTCCTGTAGCATGTTCCTAGTCTCTGACCTTCTCCTGTAGCATGTTCCTAGTCTCTGACCTTCTCCTGTAGCATGTTCCTAGTCTCTGACCTTCTCCTGTAGCATGTTCCTAGTCTCTGACCTTCTCCTGTAGCATGTTCCTAGTCTCTGACCTTCTCCTGTAGCATGTTCCTAGTCTCTGACCTTCTCCTGTAGCATGTTCCTAGTCTCTGACCTTCTCCTGTAGCATGTTCCTAGTCTCTGACCTTCTCCTGTAGCATGTTCCTAGTCTCTGACCTTCTCCTGTAGCATGTTCCTAGTCTCTGACCTTCTCCTGTAGCATGTTCCTAGTCTCTGACCTTCTCCTGTAGCATGTTCCTAGTCTCTGACCTTCTCCTGTAGCATGTTCCTAGTCTCTGACCTTCTCCTGTAGCATGTTCCTAGTCTCTGACCTTCTCCTGTAGCATGTTCCTAGTCTCTGACCCTCTCCTGTAGTATGTTCCTATCTATGACTATCTCTTGTAGCATGTTCCCAGTCTATGACCCTCTTGGTGATGGGCGCTAACAGAGAGAGGAGGGGATGTCACCTGGCGGGATGAGGAATGCCGCCGGGTCCCCTCTTCTCTCGAGCAGGTCCTTGACCTAGTGTCCAACTTTTCAGAGGGGGGGGGGGTGACACCAAAGTGGCTGTCAGTCATTTTGGTGTCACCCCTCTAATGGTGTCACACGGGTGTGGGCCGCACCACCCACGTGAGGCCACTGGTATGAAAGGAGCCGACATTAATATAGAACACCCGACACCTTCACAAAGTCTGTGCGGTCACATTGTTTGATGGCACAAGGTCAGGTAAAGCCTCTACATGCCTTCTAGTTTGCTACCACTAGATGCCGCTGTGTGACCGGCATTGTACAGATCAGAGACACAGAGTCCCCGTCACTGACAGACTGCAGAACATTGCAGAGTAGAGTATTCCAGGAGAGGAGAGTTATAGAAGAAGGAGCAGAGTCCTCCAGCAGAGTATCTCAGGAGAGAAGAGTTATAGAGGAAGGAGCAGAGTCCTCCAGCAGAGCAGAGTCTACAGTTGATGTTCCACTTTAATATCCTGAAAAAAGAAGCCAATCAGGTTTCGGCGTCGGTTGACATTAAAAGTCACATGGTACAGCTCACCTGATGCGTCATGGCTTCCGCCTGTGTCAAAATACTGATGGATAGGGATCCGTTGTCCTCGTAGCTGTTCCTGCGCATGCTGATCCGGTCCCGCTCATTCTGCACTGCTGTAACGAGAAGAGGGATCTCTGTGATCTCTGTTTAGTGGCAGAGTTTGCTCTAGCTCAGGGAAATGAATTGCTGGGAGGGTCAGATGTTGGGTGGATCTGTCATTGTGTGCGATTGCTGCTTTGTTGTCCAGGCGCAGGACGGTCCTATGGTCCTGATGTGAGCAGTGGGGCCCCCTCTTGGTGGTTCTATGGTTCTGATGTGAGCAGTGGAGCCCCCTCTTGGTGGTCCTATGGTTCTGATGTGAGCAGTGGGGCCCCCTCTTGGTGGTCCTATGGTTCTGATGTGAGCAGTGGAGCCCCCTCTTGGTGGTTCTATGGTTCTGATGTGAGCAGTGGAGCCCCCTCTTGGTGGTCCTATGGGCCTGATGAGCAGTGGAGCCCCCTCTTGGTGGTTCTATGGGCCTGATGAGCAGTGGAGCCCCCTTTTGGTGGTTCTATGGTCCTGATGTGAGCAGTGGGGCCCCCTCTTGGTGGTTTTATGGGCCTGATGAGCAGTGGAGCCCCCTCTTGGTGGTCCTATGGTCCAGATGTGAGCAGTGGAGCCCCCTCTTGGTTGTTTTATGGTCCAGATGTGAGCAGTGGAGCCCCCTCTTGGTGGTTTTATGGTCCAGATGTGAGCAGTGGAGCCCCCTCTTGGTGGTTTTATGGTCATAGAACAGGCCGACCAATCAATACAATTCTGACTTCAAAGAGCCACGGGAAGCGGGTGAAAGGTCTGACCCTCCTCAGCTAATATTGACCGCCAGATAACCTCACGTGACCTTGGGATCGGCAGGAAGGGTTCACCCGCCGCACACAGGACATCAGTTCTATCAGACAGGAAGTGAGGGAAGATGTGTATATCACGGGGACACCGGCGCTGTCGGAGGTCCCGGACGGGTACTCACCCTCTTTCTTCATTCCCGCTCGAAAACATTTGCGCAGCCGGCAGTAGCGGCATTGGTTCCTCTTGTCTTTGTCCACAACGCATTGCCGGCTGAACCTGAGGAGGAAACAGAGACAGGTTACCTGCAATGTGCGGTGACAACAAGATTCCAGAGACCTCCTCACACTGGTCTCTGACCATCTCCTGTATAGTGTCTGCAGTCTCTGACCAGCTCCTGTATCATGCCCCCAGTCTCTGACCATCTCCTGTACTATGTCTGCAGTCTCTGACCATCTCCTGTACTATGTCTGCAGTCTCTGACCATCTCCTGTACTATGTCTGCAGTTTCTGACCATCTCCTGTACTATGTCTGCAGTTTCTGACCATCTCCTGTATTATGTCTGCAGTCTCTGACCATCTCCTGTATTATGTCTGCAGTCTCTGACCATCTCCTGTACTATGTCTGCAGTCTCTGACCATCTCCTGTACTATGTCTGCAGTCTCTGACCATCTCCTGTATTGTCTGCAGTCTCTGACCATCTCCTGTACTATGTCTGCAGTCTCTGACCATCTCCTGTACTATGTCTGCAGTCTCTGACCATCTCCTGTATAGTGTCTGTAGTCTCTGACCATCTCCTGTAGCGTGTCTGCAGTCTCTGACCATCTCCTGTATAGTGTCTGCAGTCTCTGACCATCTCCTGTAGCGTGTCTGCAGTCTCTGACCATCTCCTGTACAATGTCTGCAGTCTCTGACCATCTCCTGTACAATGTCTGCAGTCTCTGACCATCTCCTGTACTAAGTCTGCAGTCTCTGACCATCTCCTGTACCATGTCTGCAGTCTCTGACCATCTCCTGTAGCGTGTCTGCAGTCTCTGACCATCTCCTGTACAATGTCTGCAGTCTCTGACCATCTCCTGTACCATGACTGCAGTCTCTGACCATCTCATGTACTATGTCTGCAGTCTTTAGCAAACACTTATTATACAATAGAAGAATGTGTGTCATGTATACAATGTTTCTCTTTCATTATATTGATATTTTGGGACATTTATATCTCTATCACAACCTCAGTACAGCAGGGGAGGGATTTGGTGATGGAAAGGGGCGGAGCATAGCGCATATGGTGGTCGCTCGGCTCTGATTGTATCACGATTAGTGAATTTCCATCCACGCTGCCGCCTGCTCGTCCCCTATAGAGTTCTGTGTCCCCGATCCCTGAAATCAAAGGAACGAGCCGCCAAACTTTCCCACAACCCTCTGACCCGCGGCGTCCAGAATTCCGAAAAATAATCTCAAATGACGGGAACGATAATAAAAAATAACGACGGAATAGAGAGAGGTCAGAGGAGGAGCCTGTGAGAGTGCAGCCAAGCCTGAGAGTGCAACCAAACCTGAGAGCGTAGCCAAGCCTGAGAGCGCGACCAAACCTGAGAGCGCAACCAAACCTGAGAGCGCAGCCAAGCCTGAGAGCGCAACCAAGCCTGAGAGCGCATCCAAACCTGAGAGCGCAACCAAGCCTGAGAGCGCAGCCAAACCTGAGAGCGCAACCAAATATGAGAGAGCAATCAAGCCTGAGAGCGCAATCAAGCCTGAGAGCGCAGGCAAGCCTGAGAGAGCAACCAAACCTGAGAGCGCAACCAAGCCTGAGAGCGCAACCAAACCTGAGAGCGCAACCAAGCCTGAGAGCGCAACCAAACCTGAGAGCGCAGCCAGGCCTGATAGCGCAACCAAACCTGAGAGCGCAACCGCTTGACAGACAATCTGTTCACATTTAAAGGGAATTTAGAGTTTTATTAGATAAACATGAAAAGAGTTCAGTAAGACGCCTGAAGCCCTAATACACGCAGTGGGAGGAGTTATGCAAATATCAAAATGTCTTGATGGATGGGTGTCAGTCTGGAAGAGGGGGCGTTCCTAGGTGGGTTGTATTTGCATGCGGACCACCCTAGGTAACGCCCCCATGTGATGCTGATCCTCCGTGATTGGAAGAACTGAAATTCAATTAATGAAAGGGGGCGGGGCCAGGGACAGTCAGGTTTGGGAGGGAAGAGCTAGATGACGCTGACCATCCTCCAGTCAGGAAATGAGGCGGAGCGCTCTCTGACTTGCTGCAGCTTCTAATGCACATTGTGAGTAACTCCCAGTGTACAGTGACATCAGAGGAAGAAGGGAGGAGCCGGGACCACTTTAGGACGGAGGTCAGATAGAAGACTGAAGGGAAGGACGGAGGTCAGATAGAAGACTGAAGGGAAGGACGGAGGTCAGACAGAAGACTGAAGGGAAGGACGGATGTCAGATAGAAGACTGAAGGGGAGGACGGAGGTCAGATAGAAGACTGAAGGGAAGGACGGAGGTCAGATAGAAGACTGAAGGGGAGGACGGAGGTCAGATATGAGACTGGAGGGGAGGTCAGATTTTAGGGTCCCCGCGGACAGCCCCCATCCCCCGCGCGGCGTCTTACCTGCAGGCGTACATGTGATTCTTGCGCACGCTCCTCCGGAAGAACCCTTTGCAGCCGTCGCAGCTGGAGGCGCCGTAGTGCTTTCCGGTGGCGCGGTCCCCGCAGATGGAGCAGTACGATCCGACGCCATTGCTGAGCACGCCCGGGCTCGCCGACTCCACCGCAATCATCTCTGCAGGACACAAGGGAACAATGTGATTGGCTGACCCCGAAACTGGAGAACATTGACGGCGGAAATCTCAACTTTGTACGATGAGCGCACACACAGCGAGACGTCCTGATTGGACGATCGGTTCAGCCGTGTAAGTGACGGATACAATCACATGACTGATCACAAAAATAACAAAAAACAGCTTTTGCTGCAATATTCACCTTCAAGCCAAAGACAACCACGCAGTACTGTTCTCTGCCACTAGATGTCCTCAGTCTGATGGCCAGCATCATTCAACCCACTTCCTATGAGCCCAGATCCTCCTAGACCCGCCCCTAGACCGTGATTGGACAGTAAAAGAAGAAGGATCTGTGCAGTAATCCAGCGTGACACTTGGAGCTTCCTGTAATAAAGACCGCTCACTGCTGCTCTCTCTCCTTGTGCAGGGTGACTGGTCTTGTCTCCGCCCCCTCCTGTAATAAAGACCGCTCACTGCTACTCTCTCCCTGTGCCGGGTGACTGGTCTTGTCTCCGCCCCCTCCTGTAATAAAGACAGCTCACTGCTACTCTCTCCCTGTGCCGGGTGACTGGTCTTGTCTCCGCCCCCTCCTGTAATAAAGACAGCTCACTGCTACTCTCTCTCTTTGTGCAGGGTGACTGGTCTTGTCTCTGCCCACTCCTGTAGGTGGTGGGGCCTACTGGACCCCTCCCACTGCTCTGCTCTCTGCACAGACTATGTACAGCGCAATGTCACTGCTACTTTTAGATAATATCTGGGTATAGTGAGGCATTTGGTGCACAGACGTTGGATTTTTATCCTGTGAGGCTCTTGATGAGTATGGAAGTTGTGTCCCCGGAGTTCAGCTTTAGGATTTGATGTGACCGTCCCTCACGTGTTGTCACGCCTCATTCTGGGTCGTCCTGATCTGCCGCGGTGAGAACTTGTCCTGGTTCCAGTTACTTGTTACTATTAAATTATAACCGTCGTAAAATGTGACTAATGGTACCAAAGGTCCCGTCATATAACTCGGTGTCATGAGGCCGCCCGACAGATTTCCCAGAATCCCCGGCTATGAACACCGGGCTAAGGAATGGAAATGTTTAAAAGTGAACCCGTCATCATCTTCACATGTATATACCCCGGACATGTCACAGTATACAGAGGCGGGATCATCGTTCAGAGAAGCTCCGCCTTTTATCATTAGTAAGCCGTCCTTGTCCTCCAGTCAGTGACTGTGCCTAGGCTGAGATGATGTCACCAGTCTGCTGCAGGCGTTTCCTCAGTCTCCCCTCCCCCAGTGATCAGACTGCAACATTGTTTATAAACAATGTTACTTTGTATCTCTCTATCTCCCTCTGATCAATGTTTATAAACAATGTTACTTTGTATCTCTCTATCTCCCTCTGATCAATGTTTATAAACAATGTTACTTTGTATCTCTCTATCTCCCTCTGATCAATGTTTATAAACAATGTTACTTTGTATCTCTCTATCTCCCTCTGATCAATGTTTATAAACAATGTTACTTTGTATCTCTCTATCTCCCTCTGATCAATGTTTATAAACAATGTTACTTTGTATCTCTCTATCTCCCTCTGATCAATGTTTATAAACAATGTTACTTTGTATCTCTCTATCTCCCTCTGATCAATGTTTATAAACAATGTTACTTTGTATCTCTCTATCTCCCTCTGATCAATGTTTATAAACAATGTTACTTTGTATCTCTCTATCTCCCTCTGATCAATGTTTATAAACAATGTTACTTTGTATCTCTCTATCTCCCTCTGATCAATGTTTATAAACAATGTTACTTTGTATCTCTCTATCTCCCTCTGATCAATGTTTATAAACAATGTTACTTTGTATCTCTCTATCTCCCTCTGATCAATGTTTATAAACAATGTTACTTTGTATCTCTCTATCTCCCTCTGATCAATGTTTATAAACAATGTTACTTTGTATCTCTCTATCTCCCTCTGATCAATGTTTATAAACAATGTTACTTTGTATCTCTCTATCTCCCTCTGATCAATGTTTATAAACAATGTTACTTTGTATCTCTCTATCTCCCTCTGATCAATGTTTATAAACAATGTTACTTTGTATCTCTCTATCTCCCTCTGATCAATGTTTATAAACAATGTTACTTTGTATCTCTCTGGGAGTCATGCCTGTAACTGGCAGTCTTGCAATGCCTCATGGGACTTGTAGTTCCACAACAGCTGGAGTTGCCCTCCCCCCGCCTGGTTTCTGATCTATGGATACACACGTATGTACAGTATATGTTGGTCCCGGTGTATCCTGACAGTGGGCGTGTTCCGTGTTCCTCATTAGATACACTTTAATAAAATGATTATAAATTGTTACAGATTCCATCGTATGATCTTCACGTGTCTTCTCTTCTCCCCCTAAACAAACACGCGTGTTCTCCCGGCATGATGATGGTATCAGGAGATACGGTCACTCATTAACCGCACAGCAAATAGCACAAATCTGACCCCGCTGTGTACATTCCATCATATGACAACAAATTGTTTTTCTCTTATTGTTTTATCACTGCAGAGGCCTCCGTCCTGCACATCGCCGGGGAAGATGGCCGGCAGACATGCCGCGCCGCACTTCATGTAATAACATATGACCGCCATTGTACCCCTCGCTGTACAAGATAATGAGCATCACTCTGCTGCTGCCACACGAGCAAGGGGAGGAGCCACAGCCGGGATTATTGAGAGCTCCTCCCCCTGTGTCCCTGAATCCAACATGAATCCTCCGCCTGACCTATATGGAAGAGGACCTGTCATCACATATCTGTTTTCATGTCAAATGCAGCAAACTAAGAAATGTGTCATTGTAACACTTCCTGGTGTTTATTACCTCTGTACTCCCCCATTGCCTTCATCTGCTTTTCTCCAGAAGGACAGCACCATCTTTGTTCAGGCATCATCCGGGGTCACCGTCTACTTCCGGGACTGAGATGCCGACTCAGAGATGACACAATCATGTAAATCCCGATGTCTGTGCAGTTCTTGGCTGTGTTCACAAATGTCTGATACAGATCAGCCCCCTGCTGCAGACTCTCACCTTGTGACTGGATACAAGGTTACAACGTTCCAGTCTGATCACTGGGGGGAGGGGAGACTGAGGAAATGCTTCCTCCTGCCTGCAGCAGACTGATCACTGGGGGAGGGGAGACTGAGGAAATGCTTCCTTCTGCCTGCAGCAGACTGTATCCGGCAGTTGGAGGGGTGACATGAAAACCCGGATTGTCCCTAAAACTCTATTTGCGTGTTTAGGTCACGTGGCGACTTGTCGCGGATCCCGAACACATAACACGCGGCGACGGCGGGCTCCTGGGAGAGCGGAACGTCCCCTATGAATGGAGCGATTCATCCGACACCGCTCGGCCAGCACAGCGATCTCCATCAATATTTGCTGTTTGGCTCCGGTGACAACTCCCGCATTCATCGCCCTCGTTCTTCACCCCTCAGAGGAAACATTGTCCCCGAAATGTCTACAGAGACGGGAAGGAGTGAAGCCGGGGACACCGCGGGGACTGCACATGCAAATCAGCGACTTCTCATCACTTCCTGTCTCGGTGGTCACGAGAACGAGAAAAGCCGAATCTTCCCCCCAACCAGAGCAATACAATCCTCATCCCAAAATACCCGCCAGAGATACACCATGAGCCCGGGTCTCTATCTTCAGTCATGTGACTCTACAGTCAGGCTGGAGAGGAAAGTGCTAGATGATGCTGGACGTTCTCCAGCCAGGAGATGAGGTGGGCTCTATCTGACTTGCTGCAGCTTCTAATGCACATTGTGAGAATCTCCCGGTGTGCAGTGATATCCGAGGAAGAGGAGAGGAGCCGGGGACCACTGTGCAAGACTGAAGGGGAGGACGGAGGTCAGATAGAAGAGTGCGATCATCCCTATGTGTAGCAGGGTGCGGGTGCGCTCATCCCTATGTGTAGCACGGTGCGGGTGTGCTCCTCCCTATGTGTAGCAGGGTGCGGGTGTGCTCCTCCCTATGTGTAGCACGGTGCGGGTGCGCTCATCCCTATGTGTAGCAGGGTGCTCCTTACTGACGCAAAAAGGACGCATCCATTTGCACGGCGGGATTCGGCGATACAAAGCATCAGAGAATAGAACATTCATTCATAGAGATCTACAGAGGACCTGAAGCAGGGCGGGGCAATCTCCGGCTGGAGTGGAACTACAAGTCCCATGAGGCATTGCAGGATTCTCACTGCCACAGGCATGACTCCCAGAGGCATGATGGGATTTAAAGCTTACGTAAGGGGTGACAGCCA